GTGGAACAAGTTGTTAGGATAAGGTAATCAGTTTAGCCAGATAATATTCCACTGATTTGCTATTCAATAAGTTAGCCGCTTACATAATTGATAATCCAGTCCGACGCCCATAGATATGAGAATAACATATAATTACCAATTAAACTAATTTTTAAATAAAATCACATTGAAATCTTTTTAAGATACATCGTGCCATTTGCGTCAAAATTATCCTCTTTCCATTGTATATTTTGGTTTACGATGCAAGTCTATCTAATGTGAACACAATCTTTTTATTATCTTGCCAAATCTAACTACAAATCTTGTGTCAGATACAAACCCTACAAACCTAAAATCAGGAAGCTAAGAGCATCTCCATCAATGAACCCCCTCTTGGGGTTCATCTTTTCAATTTTCTATTATTAATTTTTTTTTTCTTTTTGATTTTTTTTAAAACTAGATCAATCGCGGGTCGCCACATGTCGTGTGGCCCACGCTACAGTGATAAATTTTAGGAGAGAGGGATTCATAAGATTAAGTTATTTTAATATTTCTTTTGTCTTGGAAAACGTGCAAATTTCCATATGAACCTTTGATGAGGGTGCTCTAAGATCTCAAGTGTTCGGGATAAATGCGTATTTTTTACTCCTCTTTTATTGTCATGTAGGCACAAATTTCCTATCTTTGATATTTTGTTAATATTTTTATCTTCCTTTGGTTTTAGCCTAAATTTCTCTTGATTTATTAGTAAAATAAATGTGAAAAATATAACTTAAAAATCCGCCAATTATGAAATAGGAAAAAAGAAGCAAACAAAGAGTTTCTAATCATCTTGGTGGGTCATGTTCAAGCTAAGGAGTGATCAAAGAGAATTTGTAGAAATGGAGGCGACAAAGTGAGGAGACACGTGGAAAAAGGCACGTGACGTGGGGAATGTGAAAATATTGTCGATGGTGGTTTTATGGGCATTGTGTCTGCATTTTCTTGTGCTTGCCAAAAAATTATGTTTTCTAAGTGTGTGTGAGGAGAATTGTGACGTCTCCTTAGTCCTTGTAAGTCCACAGGTGAAGTATCTTTCATTAGCTCCTCTCTTTAAGGTTACGCATTCATTACTTATCTATCATGCTTTGCCTCCCTTCTCTCGTTTTTCTCTTTTTCCCCCTTTATTTCTCGATTTGTTTCTTTCTTTGCTTCTATTTATTACATGTAACGTTAAAAAGCGCAAAGAACATGCAATTTTCTGGTGAATATATGTTTATATTCAAGTTCAAAGACTACATCTTTACTTATAAATCTTTATTTTTTAACCAACAAAAAAAATTGTCTGGAACCTTGTGGTCGAGTAGTAAGTCACATTGATTCTAAACACTCTCACATGCATGGATATATCTTTTGGGTTTTGATCTATTTGATTGCCGAGAAAAATAATCTATCCATAATTAAAGTTACATATTTCTTTGAAAATTAGTCTAGACAATTTCATAGATTCAAGATATTTTCAGATTAATAATTTTTGTTTATATAAAATTACAAAAGAGAGCACCTAGCAGCAGATAAAGAACTAATTTGATGTGATTTGGTTTATGGCACGAAAAGATGATAGACACAAAAGCAATACCTTTTTGGTTACAAAGATGAAATAATCCGCTTTAGTTTTACTGATAAAAGAGTTGGATTTAATATTGAACAATAGTAGTATAAGTTTTTGGTGGGACTTGACTATTTGCTTTATGTTGAAATTAAAGAACAATCAAAGAAATTGAGGAGTGTAACTAGAAGGGAAGTGGATTAGATGTGAAGCTCAAACTCTCGTCATGCTTGCATACTATGTAGTCCACGTAGACTATTTTGTTTCTTTTGACATGATGAAAACACTATTAGCGAGCTGATGACGTAAACGAGAGTGAGCAGTTGTTATTTAATTAGACAAAAATTTAGACTAGTTTATGCTAAAAACATTTTTAAAAGTGTCTCACGGTCATAAAAAACCTTAATTATGGAAATGGTGTTTGTCGAACCCACGAATGCATCAATGCGCGTCACGATAATCTCATGCATTGAACTTGATCTAAATAGTGAGGACGAAAATTAATGTAAACTATGGCTTTAAAAATGTTCAATGCACTTTGTTCTATATTATTTTCAAGAAATAATATAATGTTCTTATCGGGTTAGAACATGTATCTCTTGTCTACGTCCATCTAACTCCTTAAACCCAGGCCTTACATTATATTCTGATTAATATGATATGTATGATAAAATGACACTTCAACAAATACTTAAATGGAGTATATGTGTTTCAGTTAAATTTTCTATCATGCTAAAAGCTGGTTAATCTCAACATAAAAATCATTTTTGTTTGTTTATGATGTAATATTTTTTATTCATTCAGTTAAAGCCTTCAACCCCCCCCCCCATGATTATAATATATATCTATATATAAATTTATCATTAACCAGAAATGATATAAAGCAATTGTTTACCTTATATCTTTTCTACATATTAATTATTTTAATTAGATAAGTAAAATCTAACACTAATAAACATATAAAAAATCTGACAAACTCTATATTCCATCCGTTTTATATTAAATATTGTTTTAGCTTTTGAATTTTGTTTCATTATAACTATCGTTTTATATTTTTAAAGTAAATATTTAATATTTTTTCCTATTATTATCCTTACTTGTCTCTCATTAATTAAGAAAATTAAATAAATTATTGTATTAAATAGAAGTAAAAGAGAAACTTTAAGCGGACACTTGTGATGAAATGGAGGGAATATGTTTTTGTTAAACGAAGAGTACTAGGAATCGAGTATTTACTTTGAAACAATACAAATTTAATTAGAACATAACACACCCAGCAAAAAAATCCGAGCACAAAGTCAAAACCAACACTTTGACCAAGTGTATACGTGACATGTGTAACTGTCTGCTACATCAACAACATCTTTAACCACACTGTCTCATCATTCCACCATCTCCATTTTCATTTAATTTTAAAACAAACTAACACTAAAACCATATCAATATCAATTCCTCTTCTTCAAATAATATATTAAATTAATAAAAAATCATTTCCTATATATATGCACACACACGTTCAAATCATTAATAACCTGTTTAGATACAAATCATACAAGAGAGAGAGAATACACAAAAATGGGAAGAAGAAGAAGCTCACCGTCTTCATCGATAGAAAGTAGCTGCAAAAGCAACCCATTTGGTGGCTCTTCGAGTAATACTCGGAACCTAAGCACGGACCTGAGGCTTGGACTCAGCTTTGGATCATCATCAGGCCAATATTACAACGGTGGAGATAATCATGAATATGAAGTCGTTGCGGCTGATCATGAGATGATCATGGAAGAAGAAGAAGATCAGAACGAGTGTAATAGTCTTGGAAGCTTCTACGTAAAGGTGAACATGGAAGGAGTTCCTATTGGAAGAAAGATCGATCTCTTTTCTCTTAATGGATACCATGATTTGATCTCAACTCTCGATTACATGTTCAACGCTTCAATCCTATGTAAGAATCTACACACACATATATACATATTCTAAAATCAATATTTGCATGTAAGCCTTAACCCATTATATTGTTTCTCTAGAAGAACGATTCGTTTTTTCTAAGTATACATATTTTTAGTAGAAATTATATATATCGTTTTTGTTTTGGTTCTTTGTAAGATAGTACACATAATATCTTACAACATGATCAATTCTGTCTATCTAATTATATGAATATCTCTTTGCATGTAGACCATAACTCTTTTGTATATGAAATATGTTTATTTATTGGATTCCTGATGCAACAAAAAAATAAAAAAATAAATGGTTTTCTAGCTAACTTAAACATGTAAGGTATGTGACCAAGAAGAGTGTTGGTGATTAAATGATAATAATAGTAAAAATTGAAACAGGGGCTGAAGAAGAGGAGATGTGTAGTGAGAAGAGTCACGTGTTAACATACGCAGACAAGGAAGGTGACTGGATGATGGTTGGTGATGTTCCTTGGGAGTAAGTAGTTTTCTTATTTCTTTTTATTAAATTTCTAATTAAACACACTTTCCAGTTTTTATTAATGCCTATAATGATGCAGAAGTCTAATGGGTGTTTAATTGATTATGCTATAGGATGTTCTTGTCTAGCGTGAGAAGACTGAAGATCTCAAGAGCTTATCACTACTGATTAAGTTAAAGAAAAGCAAAGATGGAATGTAGAATTGACCAATATAGTGGAAGAAAAAGTTAGTTTTGTAATGATGTAAATCACTTGTCGAAGGTTTATTCAAAGTTTTGTTTCAAGTTTATTGCGTAGTATTATCATTCGGTTGTAACTTGTAAGGAGGAAAGAAAATTTCAGACCCTTCTTAAGAAGTTAAAATTTTTGTTGTTTATTAAAATTTGTAGTTTCAGAAAATTGCATTACTAGTTTATGATTTGGTATAAACACTAAATCTTATATGAATCGATTTAGTACATTACTAATTTCGGTCTATTATCAAAATTTTAGTTAGATATCTTTAAATTTCAGTTATTTTTCTATAGAATTTGAATTAAGTTATTTAAATATTTTACTTGGTATGATTCTTGTATTGGCTTATTTCTAATTTTTTAAACCAGAAATATATGAACCGAAATCCAACTAATTTTTCGGAGAAACGTACAAATTTTAGTAAACAACAAAAAAAATTGTTCTCAATAAAACTCAAATTTAGAATTCACAGGTTTACATTTTTCCCCAAACCAACCTTATCACTAAGAGCATCTCCAACCTCACTCTATAATTTACTGCAAAATGGAGTGGGAAATGGAGTGATGAAGAAACAAAAATCTCATTACTCCAAATATGGAGTAATGAGATTTTTGTTTCTTCATCACTTCATTCTCCACTTCATTTTGCAGTAAAATATGTAGTAGGGTTGGAGATACTCTAAGCTACAAATCCTTGGCTAATTTTCTTCAGATTTGAGTTGTAATCTTATCTTTTGGATAAAACACTAATTAGAGCTTTGTTCTTATTATGGAATTTGCGATTACAGAAATAATTGTTAACAACACAAACAAATTCAATTTCAATTTCAAGTCTCTTTGAGAAGATATTACACTTGTTTTGCTCAACAAAGCATTAAAAGCCCATAACAAAAGAAAAAAAAAAACAACAAAAAAGCTCTCAATCACTCTGATTATTCTCCTCACTGCACACAAATTTACAAGAAAAACAACAAAAAAGAAGAAAGCATCACTTTTGAAAAACAAAACCTCAGAGAAAAAAAATTGGAAGGAAAATTTGAAGATGGTTTTTTCACACTTACGCAACCTATGTGTGTTTCCACTTAGGTCAAACTTTAGTAACTTACCAAGAAAGCAACCATGGTGATCTACTTAAACCACTTGATTTCTCCAGATTATTCTCTGATAACCCAAAACAATCAGAGCTATGCTCCGGGAAGATACTCTTATCAAAAGAATCACAAGTAATCTCCGGCGAAACCCACTGTGAATAGCCTCTAACATGTGAGCATTTCCAGGGAGCTTTCTTCGAGTTCTTCACTGTAAGAGTAACATTAAGGAAACATATGTTCTTAAACTCATCTCCTTCTATACCTTCAAGAAGACCCGCAACACCAATATCTTCACCACTAACATTCTCAAACGTGATCTTCTCTATAGTCGGAAGTGCCTTGGGATCGAAGTTTTCATCAGGATGTTCACCGTACTTACCAGTGAATCTAATAGCTTTCTTCACATTATGGAGCTTCACGTTTGATACATGAACATTTCTAATGTACCCGCCTCGTCCTGGAGAAGTCTTGATTCTTATTCCTGTACTGGAGTTGAATAGATGTAAGTCATTGATATAGATGTCAGATACACCTCCTGACATTTCACTTCCTATGGCTATTCCTGAGCTTGAAGTAGTCTGACCCGTTAACCGGTTGATCTTGATCTTGGAGCTAGGTCTTGCGTAGGATATACCATACTCGTCCCATCCGCTTTTTATCGATACTAAATCATCTCCAGTAACTATGTAACAATCCTCTATGCAAACATTTGTTGATGAATCTGCATTAAGATAAATGGTTGGAAGTGATATTAACTTGTTTATAACGGATATGCGAGCCAATTCGCTTATCACCAATTAATATTAGGTTAGAAGTTTATCTAAACTCTAGGAGTAAAGTTGGCAATGGAACTTCACCTGGATCAACTCCATCTGTGTTTGGAGATTCAAGAGGAGCCAAGATTGTGAGATTCTTTACAACAACATCGCTGTTAAGACAACCAAAAAAAAAAAATCCATATCAGAATACAAAATTAGCTGAAATCTAATAGCATTAGATAAGTTAGACCTAACCTGCAATAAACAGGATGAATGTTCCAAAAGGGAGAGTTCAAGAAGGTGAGGTTGGAGATGATAAGACCGGTAGTGTTTATGAGCTCAACAAGATGAGGTCTTGTATAGTTTAGCTCTCCATTTCTAAACCAATCCCACCATATACTTCCTTGACCATCAATTGTCCCATTCTCACCTATAATTATAACAAAATCAGACTAATATCAACAATTCAAAAGACTAAACATCCATATAAACTGCCATATTAGTTAGTACCTGTTATGACTACATCTGTGAGGTTCTGACCATATATAAGACTCCTGTGCCTTCTACCAGGCAACTCTCTTCCTCGTCCATATGATGGCAATGGATCAACCACAGGCCAATTCTCTGAGCTCTGAGAAAGACATATAAGTTGTGTAAGTGATGACATTGTTATGTATGCTATTAGAAAAAGGGCAGACACTTGCCGTTGAACCGAGAATAGTTGCGCCCTTGTCTAGCCATAACGTTAAGTGACTGATAAGGTCAAAACTACCGGTTAGCCACTGACCAGCAGGAACAAAAAGCTTGGCACCACCTTTATCAGAGAAAGAATTGAGGTAGAACAAAGCATTCTGAAAGGCTTTAGTGTTTAGAGTGACACCATCTCCAACAGCTCCAAACTCTGTGATTGATACGCTGTGAGGCCTGTGAAGAATCACTGAATTTGAGTATTCACAATGCAGGTTTCCTCCAACACTATACCAAGCACCATAGAATGCTTGTACCAGGAGCACATACCAGAGCTGCCAAAAGCAAAACCAGATAATTACATGAACAATGGAGGCAAAGTCTCAAGCAGTATTAACCTTAAATAGCTCATAAACAATAGAGATATAATTAGGTGTGTGCTACATTTCATCTCTATAAGCAAGCAAACATCAAATCAGGAAGAAAGAGAAAATCTAGAACAGTAAAAAAAAAACATTGAGTTCTAGTCTGAAAATTATCAATCATTTAACCAGATTTCAGATCTCAACAGACAAGACATAGTATAACCAGATTTGAGAAGACATGGGATTTGTTCAAACAAGAGATGACTTACAAGGAAAGATCTCTTCATATGAACAGAAGATCTGTGATCTCCTTCACCTCCAGAAACCTAAATCTTTTGATGAGTTTCTTTTGCTTCTCTGTCTCACTCTCTCTCTCATAGACTGTAAAAGAAGAAAAATGAAAACTGTGAAATAACAGTTTTCTCTCTCTCTCTCTCTATGAGAGAGTGATTAGATGGGGTCAGGGGTGAGAGGAAACAGGGGAACCCACACTTGACAAGGAAAAATCATTGAAAGTGACCGTTTGTGCCCGCCAAAGATTCAAGCAGTAGTAGTAATAGGTGTAGGTCCATCTTCTTCTACCTTCTCCGTACCATTTTTCTCATTACCATTACCTCCAGTTTATAAAAGACTTCAGCAAATCAAAATATTAAAGAAGAAAGAACATTCGATGAAATCTATGATGTCTGGAGATTACCTTATATTCTATGTTCTGTTAGAAAGTGACAAAGAGGGTCACAGATAGAAAAGCCAGAAAGACAGAGAAGAAAAAGATAGACCAGTCTGTAAAATGATCACTAAGGAATCATTTTTTTTTTAATTTAATTTAATTTGCTTTTTCTTTTTTTTGAATTAGCATATTCCATGTGATCCTAACTCAAAATAAGTGTTAGAAAACACTATCAGTTATCACGAGAAGAAGAAGATGATGGATCACTTGACACGTGGAAATGATCTCTTGGACTAAGTGTGAATTTGACTCTGCTTATGTAATTACGCTAGTTTACAACTACTACAGTATAATATAAACTAATCTTAAAAGTAAACCTTTTTTTGTAGCCACATTAACTGTTTTTCAATTAACTTAGTCTAGCTAATAAGGATTACGGTAAGAAAAAATCAGACGTGCTTCGACACATGAGCTAGAGAAGCAGTTAAACAGACACAATAAAGTAGAAGATTTTTATGGTTCCAAGTTCCAAGATAATCACAAAGTTTTTCGATTTGCACAGCAAACCTTCAACTATACTTAAAATGTAGATTTAAGGATTGCTTTTATATATTTCTGTATAGCTAGAATGAGTAATGTTTAAATTACAAACTTGTATACTATTATTCGGAAAGGAGACAATAAATTAGAGAAAATAAATTAGACAGACAGAGTAATGAGACGTGTTGTTGGAGTCTAAAAACAATACAACACCCATAATTACTATACTTAATTATCCCTTTAAGGAGTTCAGCAAACATACCATCATGGATAGACCTGATTATCAAATTTAATTAACCAGCTTACGCATCTTTCTTTCCTTTCTGTTTTAGTTTAGATACTAGGTTATTGATCAGCGTAATTGCCCAGAATGAATGTCATATATAAAAATAATTTTTATACATTATTGTTTATTTATGTTCATTTACGTAATTAAGTTAGAGTAATTACATAAATAAAAATAAGGTTTTATTTACGAAACTTTTTGGTAAATAAATCACAATATTCATTTTATTTATTTACTTTAGTATATAACTAAATTTCAATGACATGAACGTATATATATATTTTAATATAAATATTTATTATAGAGAATTCATACTCATATGATAAACAAAAAATTTCTAATGTACAATTTTTTAATACAGATTTCAAAAGGAAAATATTAAAGTATCAATACTTTTTCAATGCAAATTTAAAATTAGCATATTTATGTATTTTATATGTTATATAGTTTAATTTTAAGCTATATTAATATATAATATGAATGTCCATTAAATGAGATTTCATATTCATACGAGTTACGATCCTTTGTATTTTGTTATTACAAAAAAAAAAGTTAAACCATTGTTCACAAAATTTTAGTGTGAGATATTTAACATTTTAAGTAATTTATATTTATTTTAAAAATTCAAAATATAACAGATAAGAAAATTTTTTTATTACATGGTAATGTGATTATTTAATATTTTTTAATAATAAAAAATTAAACAAAAAAGAACTAAGGTACGAAAATTGTTATCAGATACTTATTATTCATAATCATTAATTGTCATATACGTTAATCATATTAAGTAATTTCGTAGTTTTTATTTAAGGAAAGTGCGAGAATATTTTTTATATACTATTAAATAATTTGATAGTTAGTTTACGATGGACTACTAATATTAATAACGAAATTCATAATTTATTAAAAATAAGAGTGAGAAGGAAACAAAGCGCCGCTAGAGAGAGAGCGAAAAATAAAAGTCATCGTCTTATCACCCTCTCTGATCGATGGCTCCGATCATTGGTATTGTGAGAGGGTGGATACCCCCTTTTTCTTTTTGTTCTGTCTTGTTTATGGCTTATCTTTTTGTCTAGAGGGTCACAGATCCGGTCAGAAGTTTCATTTCTCTATTTGAAGCGGAGAGTCTCAAATCGGAATCTATAAACCTCGATCTCGACAGATCTACGGTATGTGGTGGTGGATCTATAACGACCGGCTGGTTTGAGTAAGAACGTGCTTCAAGTAAGGCTTGGTTGGCTCCGTCGTAGTGTTGAGACGCGTATATAGCGCGTGGGGAGTTTCTATAGAGGTCAATGGCAAGTTTTAGTTGGATCTGAAAGGAGGCGGGGAGCAGAGGCGCTTACGAGACACAATCTACAGCAACGGTTTTACATAAACTATCGATCCAATTTTTTCTCTCTATGGCTGGGTTTGACTCTTATTTAGGATGGTTGTGCTTTGACCTTTTATGGCTTTAACTATGTTCTTGTTGTCAGTGGTAGTTTAAATATTGTCTTCGGGATTGTACATGTGTAATCGCCGGCTTATGACTCTAGGATCTGCTCTAGTTTATGATGTCGTTTTCATTACGATAGTGTGTATAACTTGCCTTTGGCTTATTAGTGTTTGAATCAATATAACAACAAATGACCAAAAAAAAAAGGTTACAATGGACCCACTTATTTTTTTAAGAATTCTGAGTTTCATTCTCATGGTGACATAAAACAATGTTCACAATCCCCTATATATTAATTGAGAATCATTTAAAAAGTTGTAACCTTAAGTTTGTAAGAATTAAAAATAACTTTAATCCTATGTGGCATAGATCTTTAGTTTCTATTTCAAATCCCAAGGATTCTAAAGCATGTGATATAATGTATAGTCTAAAAATTATACTTTCTAGCAATATAATATTTCATAGGGTATAGTTGGTCGCATATATCAAATATTTATTGTTTCGCATACTTTCCTTAAATAAAACCTACGGAATTACCTAATGTGATTAAAATATATATATGACAATTAATGATTTTAAACAATAAAGATTTGATAACAATCTGTATACTTTTTCTCAGTTTGTTTCATTCTTTGTTATTAAAATAAATTACACAATTACATTAATCATATAATAAAATCTAGATTTTTTTTTGTGTATGTTGTATTTCGAATTTTTCAAAATGAGTATAAATTACTAAAACTGTTAAAAGTCTCACATAAATTTTTAGGATCATGGTTTTAATTTTTTTTATATATTAAAATATAAAGATTTAGTTTATATATATTTCATATCGTTTTAATTAAACTATACATCGTATGAAAATACATACTTATATTTTGATATTTTCCTTGAACATATATTGAAAAGTTAATATTTTAATGTTGAAATATGTCATTGTTTTTCTAAAATGATTATAAATTATTGAAACTACTAAACATCTCACGTTTAAAAAAAATGCGTTGGTGTAAAGTTTTGTTACAAAAATATGAAAATAATCATAAAATCGTATGAGTAGAAACTTCATTTAATAAATATATATATTAAAAGTGTGATATATTACTATGTTTATATTATTTAAATTTAATTATATATCATATACAATATATAAGATTGATTATTTTGATTTATTTACCCCAACTGGGAATAAACAGGAGTGATAGTTGAATTTATATGCATACGCCAATTTATTACATAATAGTAACTGATTTCTTAGTTATTTTATATATATATTTATTATTTTATAATATGCATAAAATACGAAATAAATAATAAATATAAAATACTTATTGTGCATAAATTGCAGATCTTAACCTAAGTATGTATATCTTTAATTATTTTAAATCTTAAATATTTTCTAAATCTCAAGTCAAAACATGAGAAGAAACTTTAAAATATATATTTATATCGAGTAATAAAAAAAATATAAAAAACACAACAACAGAAAAAATTGAAGATAAATTTGATTGACACGTGAACGTTCTCATAACCACAATTAATTTTAAATTGTTAAATCATGATATAAAACTGAGTTAATTTTTAAAATTTTTAATTTTTCAAATCATTATGGTTATGTTAAATCATGACCATAATTAATTTTAAATTTTTTATTTGTATTTGAAAAACTTAAAATATTGTTTTTAAAAATAATTTAAAATTTAACTTCATTTTATATAAAATTATTTTAAAATCCAATTTGTAAAAAATATAACTTTCTAATATTATTATATAAATAAATAAATTATATTAAATTAGTTTTGAAACTTTACATAATTTAAATGCAAATATTTTACCAACTGCTTCTTAAAAAGCATTAGGGAACTTGCTAATACTCTACCAATCAAGCCCAATGACACTCAGTTTATTTTCCATCACTCGAACACTGAAAAGTGAAAAAATATATAAAATCGAGTCTATTAAATTCTAAGATTTGATCTTCAGTTCTAATTACAATTGTTGTTGATCCTACGTATAGATAGTTATCTAAAAATTCTAAAATTCTAAAATTTCAAATACATAAAAACAATCATATGTAAATTTTAAATTTGTCAGTACTAAAATTTTTTATTTTAGTTACATATATTCACCCTGCGCAAGACGCATGTCTTATCCTAGTTAATATATAAGAGATATGCTTAAAATCTGTTTTAAAAGAAGTTGGCTATAACAATATCAATAGTCAACGATAGATTTGCACTTGAGATGTTATGGTTACGCATCAAACCATACCAAAATCAAGCCGCACATTAATCAAAAACCAAACCGAGTTTAAACCGAAGTAAAAAGAAAGAAGCAAGCAAACATGTCATGAACTTTAGTAACTCTTGCCCCAATAAGTCCACTTCGTTGCAGGCTTTCCTGAAGCAAAACATAGTGTCCCTGCAACAAAAACATAACAGTGCTTAATTACTCTCGACAACATTTTAGCTTCAAGAGAGGTATAAAATCATCTGACCTACCTTCTGGAATTTCAAGCTGATCAAAAGGAGAACAAAGAGTCTTAGCTGCTCCAACTTCATCTTTGGTCCTTCTCTTAACGTCCATTTCAACCTCCTACATAAAGAAAGAAGACATTAAAAGAGGCTTCTAAAAACATATGCACGGATCTTTGTGACATTACCTTCTCGTCACACCAAGGAGCTAAAATGAGTTTCTTTTGGCCAAGTGCTTCAACAAACTCATCCCAAGTCTTCACAATTACACAAGCAGCATCTCGCTTCTGCTTAGCTACATCAAACATGTTTTGCTGAATCTTTTTAAGTAACTCTTTAACGTGTTCAACTAAACCTCCTCTTGGAACATCAGCCTTAACTCCGTTATCTCTTCTCACAGTTCTGACCTGATCTTTGGCTAAATCTCTAGGTCCAATTTCAATTCTAAGTGGAACACCTCTCGTTTCCCAATGTGAATACTTCCATTTAGGAGAATAGTTATCAGATAAATCTTCTTTAGCACGTATACCAGCTTTGAGCAAGGCATCTTTCACATCACTACAAGCTTTAGATATCTCATTGGCATCCACATCTTTAAATGGCACTGAGATCACAATGACTTGGATTGGTGCAACTTTAGGAGGAATCACCAGTCCTTTGTCATCTCCATGAGTCATTATCATCACTCCAATCTTCAAAAAAAAAATGTTATAAAAATTTAATAGTAAATTCTAGATGAGCAAGTACAAAACTAACAGAAGATTTTCAAGATTTTTTTTTTACCGTTCTGGTACTATAAGCCCAAGAATTCTGCCACACAAGTTCATTTTTTCCTTCTTTATTCGTGAATCTGATGTCAAACATTTTTGCAAACTCTTCGCCTAAGCAATGTGAGGTTGCACCTTGTATACCACGACCAGTTTCTGGTATGAAAGCCTATAACACATATCACATTTATTGGTTTGTCTGAGTAACTTCTTAATCAACCCAAACCATAGATAAAGAAAAAAGTATTAAATGCAATTTTTACCTCTACACTTGTGGTGTAAAGTGCACCTGCAAACTTCTCATTCTCACTCTTCATACCTTTTACAACTGGGACTGCGAGATACTCTTCATAGAGGTGACGGTAATGGTCCAAAACCTCAAGAACCTAAACAATTAAAACAGAGAAATTAACATGTTTTTTCGAGTACAAAAACTGCTTAAGATTTAGATCACAAAGGACAAACTAGTGTTACCTCTTTATCTGCCTCTTCTTTTGTAGCGTGAGCAGTGTGTCCTTCTTGCCAGAGGAACTCTCGGCTCCTGAGATGATTAGAATTCAAGATTCAGATTACATAAAACGGATCAGTGTCTCAACTCAAAGAACTTATGAATCTAAGAGAGTACCTGATGAATGGAGTAGGTTTGCTAAACTCCCATCTAACAACATTGTTCCATTGGTTAATTTTCAAAGGCAAGTCACGGTGACTCTTTATCCATTTGCTGAAGTAAGGATATATCACAGTCTCACTCGTTGGACGAATTGCTATTGGAACATTCAAATCAGATTTACCAGCTTTTGTAACCCATGCAACCTTTAAAAAAAAAACAGATTTAACAATATCATCCAAGATTGGTTAAAACACAGACACAAAAAATTAATAGAAGTTTTTGTGATCAAACCTCTGGAGCAAACCCTTCGACGTGATTCTTCTCCTTCTCAAGAACACTAGCTGATACAAACAGAGGGAAATAACTCTCATCGACTTCTGCTTTCTCCAATACAGCATCAAAGTAAGTCTACAAAAAAAAGAGTAATTACTAATTAATAATTGAGGTTGAAAAACAAAAGAAATCTGCATGACTTTTTTTTAAGTTTAACTCACTCGCATAATATTCCAAATCTTCATAGCATTCGGCATTAGAATGTAACATCCACTTATGTCATAGTATGACATCATCTCACCACACCTACAAACCTTTAACAAAACAACAGATGTTTCAAGATTAGGACAAGAGAAGAACGTGAGACAAGAAAAAGTCAAGTATATAATTATAAAACCATGTATTTACCTGCGAATACCATTGTCCGAAATCTTTATCTTTCTTGACCGTAACGCCAAGACTGGTGTCAACGTCTTCCTCTACGTTAACAGAACTTATTACATCAACGACACTTTCTCCACTTAATTCTTGATTACTCGAAACCCTATTCTCTTCTTCTTGAGCAACCATCGAATAAGCTTGTTCCAAGCTTGGTAATGGATCCATGTCAAGGATCTCGTCTTTAACATTGCTATAGATTGAAGCATCTAATCCCAAGAGGAACTGATATAATCTCTCTTCGTCCCTAGATGTCTCCACATCTCCGCAAAGAGACGAAGGTTTGTGTTGGTGAGACGCGAGATCTTCCCAAATAGTTTTGAGTTTGTTGTAATAATCGCAAACGGTCATGCCTTTCCTCTGCCTGCATGCTCTCAAGTCTTCCTTGAGTTCATACACTCGAGCACTGTTCTTCTTCATCGTGCTAGAGTGTGGCGAAAGTTAGGGCTTCTTTTCCTGTGTGAACTGAAATAATAAACTGCAAACTTGCGACGCAATGGTTTTATTTGTGAGAGACTTGGGATTCAAGTTTTTCAGGATATTTTCCAGGGGGTTATTAATGTTTTTTTTAGGGGGTTATTAATGGGGGTTATTAATGTTGATAAAAATAAATAAATTATGTGGATTCTGAAAATACATATCCTATGTTTTTAAAGATTTTTATCTTACAATAAATTGTTACATATTTTCATGGATTAGTATTAATTATATTTATATCATTTGTATAATTCCCAAACTATAAAAATTCCAATACAACATGCTTTTTTTGGGTAAGAATCTTTTTTGATATCTTTACTTTTTAGACAATAAAAACTACGATTAAAATAAGGAAAGAGGTCAATTTCCGGTTAGAGCCTTACAGGCAACCAAATGCATATGACGCGATCACCTACAACTAGAGATGGCAATCATGGATCTAAACTGTGGATCTAATCCTATCGCGGAATGGTACTATACGAGATTTTCTATCCCCACAAATTTACGGGTTTCACAGAATGGACCTTGTAGAATGGGATCTTTTGTGGGATGGACCGTAACTGGTCCCGTAGGATTACAAGGATCCGTATTTTTTTTTTATCTGAAAAATGAGAGAATAAGTGAGAAGAAGACGATTCATGTGATTTCCCCTGAGAAAACGTAAGGAACTCGAGCAATGATGATGATTCAAACTACGGTGATAATGATTCGAGCTCCGGTAATGACGACTAGAACTCCGGCGATGACGATTCGAGCTTTAGTAGTGTTTTGATATTGTTTTTCTTTAATTTAATTTGGGATTGACATTTTTGATTTGGGGTTGCATTTTATTTAATTTTTGGATTCAGCAAACTAAAACATTGGTTATGAACTTATGAATTATAAGATTATGAAAAATATTTTCTGCATTTATTTTTACTTTGTATGTTAATATGTTTTGGGTGTGATACAAATAGTTATAATTATTGTTTTAAATAGAAAATAAGCAAAGAAATGATTGATGAATTATGTCCAGTTGAATCGAAAACTTGAACTATATTTTAGAATGGCATGAAGCATTGTGGAGTGATTTGAATCATTCTGATGTGCGTATTATCACATGTCATGTGGAACGGCCTTTGAAAGTCTATAAAAAATGTGGTACGGATTGGGCAATTGTTTTTAAAAATGCATCCCGCATGAAATAGGTCCGCCATGTCTCGCTAGAAGATGAATCCGCAGGGGTAACCTACAAGACACAAGCATTGGATTTCAAATCAATTTCTGGTTTCTCAATCTCAACTGATGAATGATGATCTCATTTTCTCTCCTTTTTCTAACAGTTCTTTTGAAACAAAACATCATTTAATCGTTCATAGTGCAATCAAACAGTTAAGAAAGAAACTGAAATAACTTTTGAGTCAAAATATCATCAAAATCAAAACACAGTGAACTTGAGAGTCTTTACAAGACAGTAAATTTCATGACATGAACCAAAGCATGATGAACAACAGTTAGTAACTCCTGCCCCAATAGGTCCATTTCTTCGCAGGCTTTCCAGATGCAAAGCAGAGAGTGCCTGTACAACCACAAAAACAATAAATAATGCTTAACTAATCACCAAAACGATGACGGGTCAACGAGAGTTTCTCAAGAGCAGTTTCTTAAGAGGGATTAAAAGGTTCTCTGTTACTGACCTTCAGGGAGTTCTGGCTGTTCAAATGGAGAACAGAGAGTTTTAGCTGCTCCAGTTTCACCTTTAGTACGTGCCTTGACATCTCTCTCCACTTCCTGCAAATAATACGATTTCAAGGGGATTAAATGTTTGCATTCTCTCACACAGTTGATTTTCAACATGAGCCGGAAGAACAAAGAGTATTTTTTTTGTTGTTGTTGTAACGCACCTCTTCATCGCACCAGGGAGCTAGGATAAGTTTCTTTTGGTTGAGAGCACTGATAAACTCATCCCAAGTCCTAATTTCTTCAACACATGCTTCCCTCTTTTGCTTCGCCACTTCATACATGTTTTGCTGGATCTTCTCAAGCAGTTCCTTAACATGTTCGACTAAGCTGCCTCTTGGGATATCCTCCTTAACTCCGTTGTCCCGTCTCACAGTTCTGACCTATAGCCATGGAAACCAAAGATAAATGAAATTAAAGTTTATATAAACCTATGTCAGAAGAAATAAAAGAGAGATATTCAACAGGTTAAACCAGGCTGACCTGATCATTTTCCAAATCACGGGGTCCAATCTCAATTCTCAGTGGGACACCCTTCATTTCCCAGTTTGAATACTTCCATCCAGGAGAGTAGTTGTCCCTTAAATCTTCTTCAGCACGGATACCTGCTTCACTCAAGGCAGATACAGTAGCAGTACAAGCATCAAATATTCCTTGGGTATTAGCATCCTTGTAGGGCACAGGGATCACAACGACTTGCACAGATGCGACTTTAGGAGGAAGTATCAGGCCTTTGTCATCTCCATGAGTCATAATCATTACTCCAATCTATACAAGATACAAAATTCAAAAGTTAAGATCGACAGATAACACATAAGGAAGAGTAACCTAGGTAAATAAAATAACTCAAGATTTTACCGTTCTGGTACTGTAGGCCCAAGAATTCTGCCACACCATTGCTGTCTCTCCTTTCTCATTCTCATAGTTGATCTCAAACATCTTAGCAAAGTTTTGTCCCAAACAGTGAGACGTTGCACCTTGTACACCACGACCCGTGTTTGGAATGAAAGCCTACACAATCAGTTTTTAACCCAAAAAGAATAAATCAATCTACCAGAAGAAAAAAAAAGGATATTGTAAAATTAAATTACACGAAAATAAAAAAAATTAAATTACATACCTCTACACTTGTAGTGTAAAGCCCCCCAGCAAACTTCTCATTTTCACTCTTCATTCCTTTTACAACTGGGACTGCGAGATACTCTTCATATATGCGACGGTAAAGCTCCAAAATTTGAAGGACCTGAGAGCAGTTGAAGCAGTACAATAAATGATATTAAGCTGATAAATATAACCCTTGTTTGCAGCATAAAAAGGGAGATATTGGATCATAGGCAAAACACAATAGTTAGAAGTACAGTTACCTCTTCATCTGCTTCTTCTTTCGTGGCAAAAGCAGTGTGGCCTTCCTGCCAAAGAAACTCACGACTCCTGCAAGTAAAAAGGTCAGGGAATGGGCTAAGACAAAGCAAAATTCTGTGTTTGAGGGTTAAATCCACACCAACCCAAATATTTACGGGTTAAATAATTAACTAGGTCAAGAAAAAAGGCATGAGCAAGAAAACTAGAAAGAAGTTTAAGTACCGGATAAATGGGGTAGGGTTGCTGAACTCCCATCTAACAACATTGCACCACTGGTTAAGCTTCAAAGGCAAGTCACGGTGGCCCCTAATCCACTTGCTGTAGTAAGGGTACATCACTGTCTCACTGGTTGGACGAATAGCAATTGGCACTTCCAAGTCAGATTTGCCCGATTTTGTAACCCAAGCAACCTAAACAAACATTCAAATCTATTAACCGAGAACTCTTTGTCAAAAAACAAAATCCTTTTAAGATTTAAGATATACACACACAAACCTCTGGGGCGAAACCCTCAATGTGGTCCTTCTCCTTCTCGAGGACACCAGGAGATACAAACAAAGGGAAGTAGCAGTTCTTGACCTTCATTTTCTTGATTTCCGCATCAAAGAAAGTCTACAAATAGGAAGTGAGTGAAAACAAAAATGCTCAAACATCTTATTTCCCACATTCTTGATTCAACTTCCTCTCATTATGAGTGAAAGAAAACGCTTGTACTCACCTGCATAATCTCCCAAATGGCCATAGACCATGGCCTAAGGATGTAACATCCAGAGATATCGTAGTACTCAATCATCTCGTGTTTACAAACCTAGACATACATAGAAAAAAGCAGATGTCATAAACAAACCTGCTTGGGACCAAAACAAATGTCGAAATCAGGAAATGCTGGTACTGAGCATAAAGAAACAAACCTCAGAGTACCATTCCCCAAAGTTCTCATCTTTCTTAACGCTGAGTCCAAGTCCTGTTTCCTTCTTCACGTCCTTCTTCTTCTTTCCACCACCACTTGGACCAGCCTTGTCAACCTTCTCTTTCTTCCCACTTGCACCAGCCATCTCAACCCTTTTTCTTCTTTCTTCATGCATTACAAAATAGATACGTTTACCATCAATGTTACGAATACAAAGCATCATCACTAGTAAAACCTAAGCACTAATCGAGAGTTACTTCGAGATCTATCAATCGATTCAGACTACAGATTCACACAGAAACGAACCAAATCTCAATCGATTCACAAAGCAGACAGAGAGCATTTAGAGAGCAAGAGAAGAAGAAGCTAACCAAGTCGCCGGTGAGCTGAGGACGGCGGAGACGAACAACAACGAGCGAATTGAGAGGAAACGTTATAACTTGTGAACCCCCTTTGACTCACTTTAGCGAGGTTTCTCACTGAACTACCTCCAATGATAGCTAGCCACGTGTTAGGACTCATCTATCTTTCGACTCAATTTACATGGGCCAGGCCCAAGTTTAGGAGATAAGTCAACGTTTAATGTATTAAGTATACTGTAATGGAGGAAAAGTGGATAATATTCCAATCACATTCCACATTGGCAACTTGAATAATGGCTAGGTCATGGAAATGCTATTTTAAAATTGAGAGTGATCTCTAAGGTTTGGGTGTTCGAATTCCAATTAAATTAGGTTTTATTTGGATTTTTGATATTCAAGGTTAAAGATTTTTAGTCCTTTTTGGATATTTATAAAATTTTGTTCGACTTCAGTTCGGATCTTTACGGATTTGATTAGAACTATTCATTTAAATTAATTTTAAAATTAAGTTATATATACTTTAAATTTCGGAAAATCTAAAAATAAAATTAATATATAACATAGAAATTTGAGTAATGTCAAAATAGATAAATTTAATATGAAAAAAGTATCCAAATATATATAAGATATTTTATATTTTTTGGTGTTTTGAATATTATTAAAAAATTAGATAATTATTTTTAACTATTTATATATATTTTCAAAGATTTTGGATAATTTCAAAATATCTTATATATATTTGGATATTTTTTTAAATGTTACTTTAAGAATAGCTAATATATTCAAATATATAAGTCAGATTCAAATATATTTAGATTTATCGGGTTCGGTTTTTTATATATCAAAAATTTGACCCTATTCAGATACTTAACCAGTTTTGGTTTGGATTCGTTTTTTTCGTTTTAGATTCTTTATCCAATCTTATCAAAAGCCCATATTATTGGCCCAATAAAGCCCATATTTTAAATTGTGGTCTAAAGTCTTAATCAAAAATTAAAAAGTTATCGTTTAGCGTCGTCATCTATATCAAAACATTAAAAAAAAAATCATTAAAATTTTGAAATATTTCTCAGTCGTTGTCGGGAAGCGCAAAAGTGTCACCGCACCACTAAAAATCGAAAAAACGAAACCCTAAGAAAAGCAAGGAACGAAGGAAGCAGAAGATCCCTTATCCCCGAGATGGCGGCCGACGATCATCGCAACGGCGATTCGACTCATCACCACCGCGACCCCAAGAAGCCGCGCCTCTCCGAGTTCCTAACCGACTCCGACATCCAATCCGAGTTCGCTCACCACCAATCCGGCGTCGCCAGAATCAACAACGGCAGCTTCGGCTGCTGTCCGAGCTCCGTCCTCGCCGCGCAGCGCGACTGGCAGCTCCGCTTCCTCCGCCAGCCCGACGAGTTCTACTTCACCGGTCTCCGCCGCGGCCTCCTCGCCTCCCGAGCCGTGATCAAGGACCTGATCAACGCCGACGACGTCGGAGAAGTGTCTCTACTCGATAACGCAACGACGGCGGCGGCGATTGTGCTCCAGAGAGTCGGGAGGTGTTTCTCCGAGGGGAAGTATAAGAAGGACGACACTGTGGTGATGTTTCATTGCGCGTTTCAGAGTGTTAAGAAGTCGATTCAGGCTTACGTGTCGCGCGTTGGGGGGTCCACTGTGGAGGTTAGGTTGCCTTTCCCTGTGAATTCGGAGGAGGAGATTGTGAATGTGTTTAGGGAAGGGTTGAAGAGAGGTAAGGAGGATGGTAGAACGGTTAGGTTAGCTATTATTGATCATATAACGTCGATGCCGTGCGTTTTGATGCCGGTTAAGGAGTTGGTTAGGGTTTGCAGAGAGGAAGGTGTTGAAGAGGTTTTTGTTGATGCTGCTCATGCTATTGGGAGTGTTAAGGTTGATGTTAAAGAGATTGGTGCTGATTATTATGTTAGTAATTTGCATAAATGGTTCTTTTGTCCGCCGTCTATCGCGTTTTTTTACTGCAAGGAAGGTGGGTTTGAGTCTGATGTTCATCACCCTGTTGTGTCTCATGAGTTTGGGAATGGTTTGGCGGTAGAGAGTGCTTGGATTGGGACTAGGGATTATAGTTCTCAGCTTGTGGTTCCGTCTGTGATGGAGTTTGTGAAGAGGTTTGAGGGAGGGATTGATGGGATAATGAAGAGGAATCATGATGAAGCTGTGAGGATGGGGTTGATGCTGTGTGATGCTTGGGGGACGAATCTTGGGTCGCCTCCGGAGATGTGTGTTGGGATGGTTATGATTGGTTTGCCTTCGAAACTCTGTGTTGGAAGCGATGATGATGGTGTTAAGTTGAGGGCGTATTTGCGGGTGCATCGTTTGGTGGAGGTTCCGGTTTATTTTCTTGGGTTGAGGGATGGGGAGGAAGGAGTGAAGGATAAAGACGGTGGGGTGATCACTGCGTATGTTCGGATATCTCATCAGGTTTATAACGAAACAGGGGATTACGAGAGACTGAGAGACGCAATAACAGAGTTAGTCAAGGATCAGACGACTTGCAAAAATCTTCCTCCCGTGTAGTAAACCAGGTATGCTGCAACCTCCCGTGTAGTATATGAGATTTGGTGCCTTGTTAGTCATATATATTTAGTAAAATGGTGGAACTATTTGAGTTGTGATTTGTGAAAAAGCAAGCAACTTTAGGTCTTGTTCCATTCTCTATGTGATGTTTGCTCGATTGTATATGGAACCAAACCCATTTTGGCGATGTGTGTCTTCTAAACGTAGTTACTTTTGGTGGCAGATAGTTTGATATAGTCCACAAGATCCTCATTTAGATGACTCTTTCATGGTTCCGGTGTAACAATAAGGCTTTAGAGGAGCCACCAGCCAAAGTCCTCGGAGGTGACTTTATCGATGAGCTTGTGGTGGAGCGGCGTTCAATGGAAGAAGAAGCTAACCTTGAGGAGGCTTTTTTTAATGTATTTTTAGCGTTTAACACCTTTCTGTATAATTATTGTGCAATAAAGTCATTGTTCAATAGACATTCTTCAAAATCTGTATTTCAGTTCTGACAATTTTTCGTTATTTAAGACATTTCATCCAGTATTTCACTATCATGATAAACAATGAGCATGTTCAACTCAAAGGTACTAAACTGGTAAGATGAAACCTGTGGGGTCAAACTCTGAATAAATAATAACTCGATGGGCCTTTCTGGAGACTTGAAAACTTGAAAAATATTAAGTGACGTGTCGTCGGTTTGTCGGAGAAAGAAGAGTTTGTTATTAAATCCGACCAGAGCCAACGGAAAGGTGTTTTGTTGCGAAGAAGAAGATGGGTGAAGAGACAGTGAAACCTATTAGGTTACTTAATTTCGTCTCCGAGGATCAGGTTCTGTCTCTTTGTTTTTCATCTATCGAAGCCCCAGAGCTTTGTAGATTCGATCTTTGATATTTTCTGAGCAATTGAATTTGGTGTAACGCAGTTAGAGGAATCGAAGAAAGAAAGAGGCGAGAGAGTTGAAGATGGAACTTTCCAGAGAGACAGGGCTTTGTATGAGGTTTCTCTCCATCATTCCTTTTCTCGTTTTATTCTTTTTTCCTGGAAAGTTTAGTTTCAGTCTTTTGATCAGATTGCAGCTGAATGATTGGTGTGCTTAATGACTAGTCATTACTATTTAAGTATAAATCTTGTTGTTGAAGTTTTCATGGAAGACTAAGAACAATGCTTCCTTTTCATATTAACTACAGATTTTGAAAGAGAACAAAGACAAAAAGGACGCTGAGTTTAACGAACGTTTCAAGCATAGTGAGTCACTCTACGACTACGAGTATGATTCCTTTGTTTCTTCAAGCTTGAATGTTTGCAACATCTTTGGTTTAGCTCTTCTTTGAATTGGATTTTCAGGACCACCCAAAGCTCTTGATGAGGATGAGACTGAATTTCTCGACAAACTCGAACTGGTGAGCAATCTTTCTATGTCAAGCAGACTATAACGTCTTTCCATTTTTATTCATCTTATCTCTTAGGACCAGTGTCAGACATCGATGAGTTGATGTTTATAAGCTCTTGAAAATCAGTAACAGAAAAGAAGAATCGTGACTAGATGGCTTGAGGTAATATTCATCTTAATCTCTTCATGTGGATTTGTTTTTATAGTCAAAGAAGGAATATGAACGGCAATTAGCAAATGAAGACGAGGAACAGATTCGTAGTTTCCAGGTATATTTCTTGTGAATCTTGAAAAAGACAGTTAAACAGATCTAAAATGCTAAGATCAACCTTGGATTATGGTTTCATTTTCAGGCAGCAGTTGCAGCACGATCAGCCATCATCTCTCAAGAACCACAAGAAGCTGCACTCCCACCATCAGCTCCATCCACTAAAGTGAGTGCCTCTGTGTTCTGCAATACCTTAGAATTGCAGAACTCTTTAGTTAAGCATTTGAAACCAAATGGGTGATTTATCTCTTTTATAGGAACAAAAAACATCCGGGAAGAGAAACCCTGCTACTCGTCCATTTAACACTATCATAAGAGTCAAGCCACAACCTAAGAAGGTTAAAGCACCAGAGGAAGAGAATATTGACCAGAGTTCTTTGGTTTCTTCTAAAACACTACAAACAGGTTTAGTCTTAGTCTCATATAGTGATGAAAGTGAAGATGATGATTAATATTTTTTTTCTTGTTTTTGCTGACACAATAATCTACAAACATTCATAATGAATCTAAAAATTAATCGTTTTCCAGTGCAATTTTAGATCTATATTACTCACAAATAGTAATCCATATAAAAATATAAAGAAATGTTTATGTAGAAGCACTTAGATGAAGCTGTACTAAAGAAGCATAGACACCATCTTTGATATTAATCAAAGTGTCATGCTTTCCTTTCTCCACAATTACACCATTCTTAACCACTGCAATTACATCTGCGTTCTTGATTGTTGATAACCGATGTGCCACCACCACGGTTGTTCTGTTAACCATAACCCTGTCCAATGCATCCTGGACCACACGCTCTGACTCAGCATCTAAAGCACTTGTTGCTTCATCTAGTAGCAACACCTTAGGGTCTTTAACAATGGCTCTGGCTATAGCTACTCTCTGCTTCTGCCCACCTGATAATTGAACTCCTCTCTCACCCACCATTGTCTCATAGCCCTGCAACACCAAAAAAAAACATTTTAGTTTAGTATGAATCTATGAAAATTAGGGATGCACATTCGTTAAAGTTACCTGTTGTAGTCCACTGATGAAACCATGAGCGTTAGATAGCTCAGCTGCAGATATGATTTCAGTTTCAGAAGCATCTCCTCCTTTTCCATAAGCAATGTTTGCTCTGATTGTTTCATTGAACAGAACAGGTTCTTGGCTCACAAGTCCTGTTTGCTGCCTTAGCCATTTCAGCTGCAAGGTCTTAATCTCAACTCCATCTAGAGTGATCTGACCAGAATCAGGATCGTAAAACCTCTGCAGCAACGCAATCACTGTGGATTTCCCGCTTCCACTCTCTCCAACCAAAGCTATTGTCTGAAACACAGAGACAGAAAATTCAAGACATGTTTGGTTTTCATTTGAACCAAACTGAAAACTTGATTTAAGATCAAAGTCTAACCTTCCCGGCACGAATAGAGAGACAAAGATCCTGGAAGATCTGAACATCAGGTCTTGAAGGATACTTGAAACTAACATGACGAAGTTCAATATCTCCTTTAACATTATCAAGAACTCTCCCAGACTCATCACTTGGATCAATCTTTGATTCTCTGTCTATAACCGCGAAGATGGATGCAGCTGCGTTGCTAGCTTTGCTGGAATCAGGAGACAATGAACTCGACTGAGATATAGCTACAGCCGCCATTGTCAATGCAAAGAAAACCTGAAAGAAATTAGCCATTAGAAAAGGGACAAAACCCAAGAATCTTGTTGATAGTCTGAAAACTCATTTTTTGGTTTTGTTACCCTGAAAACAGAATCAAAGGTTGTTTTGCCGTCATCAACAAGCCTTGCACCGGCATAGAAACTAGCTGCGTAAGAAGCAAAGAGGACAAAGAAAGAAACTCCAAAACCAATACCACTAACAATGCCTTGACGTATTCCTGTCTTCATAGGACCTTCACATTTCTTCTTATACATTTTCATCACTCTCTCCTCTGCACAGAATGAAGCAACCGTTCTCATGCTCCCTACCGCATCGTTCGCTACTTGGCTCGCTTCCTCATACATTCTCTGCCAACAATGTTTTCATCAGACAAATACAACTTAGTACTGAAACTAACTCTAAAAATGGACTTACCTTTGAATCTGCACTGAACCCAACCATGAACTTCATGTAGATATAACCGTTAAGTCCGATCAAAGGAAGCATTGCTAAAACAATGAAAGCTAACTGCCAGCTCGCCACAAAAGCAATGACCACACCAGCTGTTACAGAGGCAAGGTTCTGTACGGTTTGAGCCAATGCATCTCCAACTAAGCCGCGAACCGTAGCAGCATCAGCAGAAAGCCTAGCTCCAATAGCACCACTTGAGTTCTCAGTCTCATCAAACCATCCAACTTCCATATGAACCACTTTCTCAAAACACATTGATCTGATCCTCTGCACCAGTTTACATCCAGCTATAGAGAAAAAGATGGTTTGTGCAGGGTACACCACCATTGAAGCTACACCAAGAAGCATGAATATGATTGCCCAAAACCTTGTATCGGATTTTAACTCCTCAGGTGGTTTGAAAAACGCTTTGATAACGCTGGAGATTAGGATCCCAAAGATGGGAAGTATCACTCCGTTTAGAACTGCTGCTATAGATCCAAGTATAAGCATTGGAATCTCTGGTTTGTTTAAAGCAGCTACTCTAAGGAATGATACTTTCTTGATGGGACTAGAATCCTGGCTGCCTTGTTCTGGTTTGGTTTCGTTGGTTGTGTCTATACCTGCTGGAAAACCAAACATGGAGAAAGAAGATGATCTTTTGCTTAAAGACCTGCTTAGAGATGACTTTCTTAAGCTAGACCGTTTCATAGACTCCATTGACATCTTCTGCTCATCCGTTGAGTCTTCAGACTTTTTGTTGTCTTCTTGTAGACGTATGAGCTGAGAGTAAGCTCCTTCAGGGTCTCTTAGGAGCTCAGAGTGAGAACCTGATCATAAGTTTATGTTCATTAGCACTTACTACCAAACAAGATTTGAGACATGTGTTTTGATTTTTTACCTTTCTCAACGATCTTTCCTCGATGAATCACAGCAATCATGTCTGCGTTTCTCACAGTGCTTAATCTATGAGCGACAACAACAGTTGTTCTGTTAACCATAATCCTGTCAAGAGCTTCTTGAACTATTCTCTCAGACTCTGCATCAAGGGCACTTGTTGCTTCATCTAAAAGCAAGATTCTTGGATCTTTTAGTATCGCTCTAGCCACCGCGATTCTCTGTTTCTGTCCACCTGAAAGCTGAGTCCCGTGTTCTCCAACCATCGTGTCTAAACCCTGCAAGATAAAGTTACTTCAGTTACATCTACAAACTTTCATCAAAATGAAAACAGAGACAAAACAGAGCAAAAAACAGAGACGAAACAGAGAACAAAACAGAGACGAAACAGAGGAAAGGTGAAAGTAAAAGTCTCAAACCTGAGGAAGCTTATCAATGAACTTAGATGCATTTGCAAGCTCTGTAGCCTTACGAATCTCTTCAACTGTGGCGTCCTCTTTCCCATAAGCAATGTTCTCTTTAATACTCGACGTGAACAGAACAGGTTCTTGACTCACAAGTCCTATCTTGCTTCTGATCCATTTCAGCTGAAACTCTTTAAGGTTAACACCATCAATTCTAACTTCACCACTCTGTGGATCATAAAACCTCTCTATCAAACTCACAACAGTAGACTTCCCACTCCCACTCTGACCAACTAAAGCCACCGTGGAGCCACTCAAGATAGAGAGCGAAAACCCGCGAAAAATTCGCTCTTCTGGCCTCGCCGGGTAGCTAAAGTCAACATCTCTAAGCTCTATATCTCCTCTAATATCCTCAAGAACCTTCCCTGTTGTATCAGAAGCATCAATCTCCGGTTTTCTCTTGATTGTCTCAAACATTTTGTAAGCAGCGGCTTGACCAGCTGCAAAGGCACTTAAACAAGGAGATGCTTGTCCTAACGACATGGAACCGGTTAAAACCGCGAAGATGATGATGATAACTTGTCCTCCTGTGTACCCTTTCTCCAGTATCATCTTCCCACCATACCAAACAGCTAAAGCATAAGTGCAAAAGATGACAATGTTGAGTGTGCCAAGACCAAGACCTGTGGAAGCTCCTTCAAACACACCTGCTCTATAAGCAGAGACAAGATGCTTGTTGTAGTTACTTATAGCTTGTTTCTCTCCTGTGAACGATGCAACGGTTCTTATAGACCCAACTGTTTGCTCAACTACAACCGCAGCTTTTGCGTAAGAAGTTTGTCCACGAGAAGCCATTTTCGAAATAACGATAGCTAGAGCTGCACCAGACATTACTAGAAGTGGTATTGAAGATACCATGACTAGTGTGAGTAGCCATCCTTCCGTGAATGCTATCACAAATCCACCTATAAAAGTTGATATTAACTGTATAGCCTTACCAACCTGTAAAAGAAATAAGAAAAAGTTTTAAAACCTTTGAATCAAAGATTGATAATGTATTTTTGGGGGGTTATGGTGTATTACCTTTTCTCCCATGGCGTCTTGTATAAGGACAGTGTCACCTGACATTCTTCCAACAACTTCTCCTGTGTTTGTTTCGACATCGAAGAAGGCTATGTCTTGTCTCAATATGGTTTTTAGATATAAACTTCGTATTCTTCCAGCTTGTCTCTCTCCAGAGATCATCCAACCAGAAACCTCTGTTGATATACAACACATAAAGATCAAATCTCTCACATTCAAACATTGTAAAATTCAGAAAAAAAATGAATGTATTCTTACGGAGTAGAGCAGCCACTAGAGTTCCAAGTCCAAGGTATACAAACTTCAGAGCAACCTGTGTGTAATATTGTATTTAAGATCAATCATTGTGTGATGGGTCTAAAAAAACAAAAGAGTTTAAAAGAGTAGAGATTATTTATTATTTTTACCTTGGCGATCTTGTCAGAAACATCTGAACTGTTTTGGTTCTGTCCAAACACATCAATGACATCTCCGAATAGGATGGTCATGATAGGGAAGCCAAGACCGTTGCCCACAGCACCAATAGTCCCGAGGATCATTAAAATGATGTCAAAGGAATCTGCAAAGGCAAACAGCTTGTGAAACGGCACCGTTTTGGTCTTCTCATCGTCTTCTTGTTTCTTTTTCTTCTCTTCTTTCATAACAGACTCTGTCTTAACTTCTTCTTCATGGGTTTTTGAGTTTGAGGTCTCTGTTTCTTCTATGTTAGGTGAATCCACTTTCCGTCCTTCCTCTGATTCTATTATACCATCCATTGTATTATGAATTTATGATCCTGTTTCAAAGAATAAAAGACTGTATATAAATAAAAGATCACAAACAATCAATAAACTTGCACAAAATCAGAAATCAGTTCAAGAACTTGGAAAAAAAAAAAAAAAAGAAGCAGGTACCTTACAAAACAGAGACTTTGTGTGATAATAGCAGACTTAACAGTGGAATAAAGTTCGTTCAGAATTAATATATAAATTTGTTCGTTACTTGAAGAAGAAGAAGCAGTGAATCATCAAGTTGAAGAACTCGTTAATACATGGTCTATTTGAACTGATTCAAGTTGACCTACTTCAAGAAACAAATACTACAGGCGTCAAAAACGACCTTGTTGACGTGACAGGACAGACGCCAAGTTGTTTGTTTGGTCTCTTCTCTGCAGATAAGTCTACGAACCCAACTTTTGTTGAATAAAATCAGATGAAGCTTCTAACATAGTAACACAGAACACAAAATAATGTTTTCATACGATTTATTTTCAACTTGGTTTGACTAACCAACTTTTCTAACTTTTCTTTTGAAAAAGGGGCGACTATAACCAAATTTTCTTTGTTTATACAATATAAAACATTGGCCATTAGCCGCATTTTTATATTGTATGATACTATTCTTCATAAGCAGACAAAATTACTGTATTCATATTGAGTTTTTTTATATGCAACTTGCACGATATTTCTTCATTTCCCGGGCCATGGCATTATTCTTGAATGATTAAAGAATATTACAAAGTAACTATTGTTTATTTGACAAATCATAAAACGTTACGTATACTTTTTCTTTACATCTTTTCTTTTGTTTTTTATACTATGATATACTAGGATAAGATCCGCGCCTTGCGCGGGATGAAGCTATTATTTTATTATGTTTTTAAAAATGAAACAATAGTTCGGTTTCATTCGGATTAGAGGTGTTCAATCCGGATATCGGGCTTCGGTTCGGCTCGATTTTTTGGTATTTCGATCATTAAAATATAACTACTATTCTAAATTTATATGTACTTCAGTTTGATTTGGTTTTATATACCATCAGTTTTCAGTTTATTTAATTTTATACCAAAAAACATAATTATTTAGTTTGAGATCATATTATATATTATACAAATATATTATATGATCATATTTAGAGTCATATTGTCACAGAGTTATTTATTAAAATTTTTTTATATATTTAAATAAAAGAATAAAAAACGAAAAAGGCTTCTATCATCTAATAAAATGATCAAATCTAGAATTAATATCAAAACACTAAATTTTGAAAATAAAAATAAAAAACAAAACAGAAGCATGAAAGAAAATTTTTTATATTCTTCCATATTTAGTGTTTATCGAACCAATATGTCTTCGATTGAACACAACTCTATTTGTTTAAAGATAAAAAAAAGTTGTAAAGAATTTCAACTAATTATTGTCCATCAAATTTATAATCTTTACTTCAATTTAGTTACTGTTAAAAAAGCAAAAGATCAAAATAAGAAGTCTTAGTTGTAATAAATTGTTAGCTATTTACAAATTATAATTATAGTTCAACTCATGTAACAGATAGATATTCATGCGTCGTTATAAATATATACA